GATCGGCTAGCTGCCGATAGGGGCATGATGAAGTCGCCTCTTGGCCCTTCAGTCTGGGCCCGGTGTAGGGGCTGCTAGCGGGCCACCTGCCCCCCCCCCCCCCCCCCCTTCGGTTGACGCCCCTCCTTCGGTTGGCGCACCTCCTTTGGCTGACGCACCTCTGTATGAGGACGCCTTGTCGCTGGTACAGACTTGTTGCCAGGTTTGGCTGGCCCAGTCACCACTAACGGAGGCATGTAGGAGTCCTCCGTAGCGTAGCAGTCGAGCCAGGGGAGCTGTTTAGGTCAGCTGCCCTGGAGGCACTGGAGCGTGCTGCCCAAGCTAGGCAGACCAGGCAGCAGCTCTCGGGTCTTCGCAGACCTGTGCCCATTCCCAGCAGGCCCAGGGGCCGCTCTAGCAGCCGCACTCAGCCGCCGGATTACAGGGGTGGTCTGCAGAGGTCTTAGCGGCCCACTCAACCGCCTCCCAATGACTTTCGTGCCCCAGGTCGCCCACCTTCCAGGCCGCACTTCCAGGCGGCCTCGTGCCCCAGAGCCTTACCGGCGCCCCCCAAGGGGCTCCAGGGGCCGGGGGCTGGGCCCTGAAATCCCGGGGGCGGTCGTCGGCTGCTTTCCCAGCAGCAGCTCAGTTACTGGGCGGTCTGTACTTCCGGCCCTTGGGTGGTTTTCACCTTAACCCAGGGGTACGGACCGCAGCTCCGGCCCCTAGCCTTCGGCTGTGTCTAATTGACAGTCGTCAGCAATCCGGCAGGGGCCCTAGCTCTGGCCCAAGAGTTGTCCGTCCTTCTGTCCAAGGACGCAATCGAGCCAGTAAGACCCTCTGCTTAGCCCAGGGGGTTCTACTCGGCGTACTTTCTCGTGAGCAAGAAAGTCGGCGGATTTCGCCCGATCTTGGACCTCAGAGGAATCAACAGATTCCTGAAGGTGCTGCCATTACCACTGCACAGGTGGAGTGGTTCTCAACCGTGGACTTGAGGGATGCCTACTTCCACGTGGGCCGGGCAAGATGGTGCCTTATATTCAGTTCCTCCGGCCCTTGGGCAGACTGGCGGCTGCCTCGGCCGCTGGGCCCTTAGGCCCGCTGTCGTTGCGCCCCATGCAGATGTGGCTGAACAGCCTTCACTTGGACGCAAAGTGGCACAGGCACAGGGAAGTCAGGGTGTCGCAGCATTGCCTCCACTCTCTGTCACGCTGGAGGGGCAGGGCCTATCTCCTGATGGGCGTGCCCGTGGGCGCCATCCCATCCCGCCAGGAGACCATCACCATAGGTGCATGTCTCTCAGGGTGGGGTGCAGTGCGGCAGGGCAGGACCGTTCAGGGTCAGTGGTCTACCCAGGAGGGTGCGCGCCAGGTCAACGTGCTAGAGCTTCGGGCTGTGCAGCTTGCACTCACGCACTTTCTACCCCAACTGGGGGGCAAGAATGTGCGTGTTCCTTGGGGACAGCATGTACGTTGTTGCTTAGACAACAGTCCCTTCTAGATAGTGGACGTTCTCACTCCACTCTGAATTTATTTGGCTGCTATTTCTGCCCGACATGTTCGGGTCGACGGCGCCACGGCGGGGTGCCACAGGTCGGTGTCCCTCTTTATGAGAGGGGCTTTACGGCAGCGTCCCCCTAGCACCCCGAGGGCTCCGGCTTGGGACCTGCCCCTGCTGCCGGATGCCCTATCATCTCCTCCCTTCGAGCCCCTGGCCCAGGTGGGGCTTAGGTGGCTGTCCACAAAGGCAGCATTTCTGCTTGCCATAGCCTCAGGGAAGCGAGTCGGAGAGTTGCATGTCCTCTCCATAAACGATACATGCCCGAGGTGGGACTCTCAGGCGTTGCCCTTTGGGCAAATGTGGCATTCCTGCCCGGGGTCCTTCCACAAACCCACTTCAATCAGCCTGCCCAGCTGGCACGCTTTGACATTCAGGAGTACGGCACGTCGAAGTTTCCGTTGCCCTGGGGGTGCCCAAAGGGCATATATCAAGGCTACTACCTGTATACGGCAGTAGGAGCAACTCTTGATTTTGCCCTGGCGACACTAAAGGAGGTTATGCCCTCTAACCAGTGGCTGCCCCACTGGGTTGTCGATACCATCTCACAGGCTTACGGGGCCAGTGGCCGCCCCCTGCCATCGGGCTGAGATGCCACTCTACAAGGAGCATCTCAACATCTTGGGCTGCCAGAGTTTCCTGTCACTCAGAATTATTGTGTGCTCGCGAGAAGATTCTCGGAACAGATCCTCTGACGACACTGATATAGCCGGTGTCACGTGGGTCACAGGTGACTTTGTTGTTATTGGTACTCGAGCTGCGCATGCGCGCGATGGACATATCCAGTGCTTAAAGCACCGCCTCTGGCGGTCATCCGGGACTCATAGATCAGTAGTTACAGCCGTAACTATCGTTATGTAGCTTTTTCTTCATGTAAACGGTCTGCAGAGTCACAAACCCTCAAAGTACACCCTGTAGCGAGTACAACTCTAACACAGAAAAGACCTGTCTCTGTTGACAGAACGCCTCGTTGGAGATTTCTCTTTTTCCATTGTTTTCTTCTTGGGTATAGTGACGTATTTGGGTATAGTAATGTTACGTCCGTGGAGCCGTTACGTTTGGACCAATCCGCGGACTTCCTTACACACGGCGGGACGTTTCGAGGCTCGTGGGACACTTTGAGCTGGCTCACTGGTGTGGGTTTGGCGAGACAGCGAGACACCGCGGAACTCAGCCTGAGCACACACACACAAACTCCCAGCCAGGCTGCGGAATGCTGATGTGTGTGTGTTTCGGGCTGGGTTTCGATGTGTCTGGCTGTCTCGCAGACGGCCACTGGGCTCACATGGAGGGGGGGGGGTCAGGAGCTCCAACAAGCCGTTTAGGACAGAGAGTGAATACACATACTATACAGAGATGCTGTATGAGAAACCAATGTGATTTTGGAAAATTGAACAATGTAAATCTATTCTAGTCGACCTCAACGATGACATTATGATCATTAGAAATGGCCATGACATGGGACCTTTTTTAAAAGCATCAATTTTTTTTACTGTCATATAGTATTTTATACCTGTTTACTTTATTCTCTTATTTATAACTATAATGATCATAGAAAGGTGTGTCTTTACCTCACTGAGCTGAGGTTATCTGAGTCTGTCAGGAGAGAGCTCTCTTCCACCTGGTTGTAGAAACAGCTCCTTATATTCGTTAGCATAGCTAGCTAACCAGATGCTAATAATCCCTAGTACCGCTGTCTCTCTCTCTCTCTCTCTCGCTCACACACAATGCGCTCGTGCCACACACACACACACACACACACACACACACACACACACACACACACACACACACACACACACACACACACAGAGAGCCAAGCTTGAATGACACACAAAGACCCAGGAATAGTTGTACTGTACTGTAGCATATTATTTTCGATGGCGTTATTGTCTGTTCAGTATGTCAGATGAACAGATCGCCACTGGGCTTAGAACTAAAGACACAGACAAACTGCGGCATTTTTTGAAGTGCTGGAGCGGCGTTCCGGTGCTCTCCGGCAGCACTACACCACATGATGACACGTTACGCTCGAGTTGTGTTCAAGGAACTTGTCCTTTGCCAGGAAAAACAGGCAGTCGCTTGTTTAATTCTGTTGCGGTCTAGATTTCTGCGTTGCGTGCATGGCTTCCTTCTGCAGGTAACGGTGAGACGCGCTCTGGCGGCGGTCTCATTCAGAATCCGAAAATACAATTTAAATATTTTGCACACTTATTCCTAGTGTGCCACTGGTTACGGTGCCGCGTGCCAATGGTGGCACGTGCACCTAGGGGTTGCCGACCCCTGCTTTAAAGTGCCCCTTTTCCTGTAGAGAGAATAAACCTGACTCTGATAAAAACAACACATTGTATATTTATGAAGAAAATGCTGATTAAATATTAATTTACGTTTAATCTCTATTTTGAATGCAAATAAAATGTGATAAAAAGTCTAATTCTGGGGAAAAGTCAGAATCATGGGGAAAAAAGGAAATTCCTAACCGAAATTGGAGAAAAAACATTAAATTCTGCGAAAAAGTCAAATTCTGTAAAACATTTTTTTTTTAAAGTCGGACATTTTAATAAGTCTAATTCTGGGAGAAAAAAATTCAGAATTTGAGAAAGTGTCCTTTTTCCGTAGAGAGAACAAACCTGACTACACATCGTATATATTTATAAAGAAATGCTGATAAAATGTCTCTAAATTAATTGTTTAATCTCTATTTCAAATGTATATTGGGGCAGTGGTGGCGAAGTCGATAGGGACTTGGCTTGGCAACTGGAAGGTCACCAGTTCAAGTCCCGGCAAGACCAAGTGCTACCGAGGTGTCCCTGAGCAAGGCACCGTTCCCCACACTGCTCCCCGGGCGCCGTTCAAAATGGCAGCACACTGCTCCTAACACTAGGATGGGTAAAATGCAGAAAAACAATTTCCCCACGAGGGATTAATAAAAGTCCATCTTTTTTTTTTTATATATAAAAAAAAAGTCAAATTCGGTGAAAATAGAAATTTGAAAAAGTCAAATTCTTTAAAAAAAATAAAAGTCAGATATTTTTAAAAGTATAATTCTGGGGAAAAAACTCTACTATTTTTAAAGATATGTGTACAATGGTACTTGCGTACCATGCTGTGAATGGATCTGGCACCCCAGCACGTGCACTCCGCTCTGCATCAGCCAAACGGCTCGCTGCACCCGCACTGCGAGGGGGACCCAAGTTCCCATCAGCAAAAACACGTGGGTTTGCTATCCTGGCTCCAAGATGGTGGAATGAGCTCCCCATTGACATCAAGACAGCAGAAAGCCTGCACATCTTCCTCAAAAAAAGCACTTGTATACTAACAAAGCACTTATATACTACTAAAGCTAGTTGAGTAGCACTGAAAATGTTTTGGCTCTATGAAACCTGATGTACTTATTTTTTTGCCACTATTTTTCTAGCCAAAAACTGTGAATATTGACTACAGTTCTTCCCTTCTCTCTCTAGACTTGACAACTGAAAAAATGACAGATAAGGATGAGCAAGAAGCTGCATCCGAGCCTCGAAGTCACCGCTGTGAGGATTGTGGGAAATCCTTCGTACAGAAATGCAACTTAACAAGACACCGGCGACAAAACTGTATCAAAACAAGAGAAACCGCAAACCAAGTAACTTCCAAACAGGATAAATCGTTTATATGCGAGCAATGCGGAAAATCCTTCCCCAGGAAAGGATATCTGAAATCACACATGCTGAGTCACTCGGAGGAGAGACCGTACGGATGCAGCAAATGCGAGAAAAGCTTCAAGCAACTGACGAGACTACAGCAACATGAGCGCATTCACACGGGAGAGAAACCGTACGGATGCTTGCTTTGTCCGAAACGATTCAGGATCCGAGAGTCGTTGGCGGCGCATAAATTAACTCATTCTGGAGAGAAACCCTACAAATGCATCATCTGTTCCAAAGCCTTTAGTGAGAGGAGTAATCTGAAGAAGCACAGCAGGATTCACACGGGGGAGAAACCGTTCTGCTGCTCTCAATGTGGGAAAAGATACCGACACCTTCAGCATCTTGTGTCACACGTGCGAAGCCACACAGGGGAGAAACCGTACAAATGCGACAAGTGCGGGAAAAGTTACGGTCATTCCTCGGTGTTGAAGAAACACCTGATCGCTCACGAAGAGAAACAAAAACGCTGCTCCCTATTATGTGTGGATTCAACTCTGGTGAGACATTTTTTAATTATTATTAAGTAACATTAAGCTGTCTTTGGCTCTTTTCTGCTGTAACAATGTAAATGTCCCCTCTGTGGGACTAATAAGGGTATTCTGATTCTGAATTATTTGGAAGTTTAGGGAACTTTATTGACAAAATAGTTGGATTTATTTTATAATCTGCTTTGTATTACGGGATCCTTTAAAAACTCTTAAAAGGCTTTAATTCATTTAAATTATTTAATACTTCTTCATTAATTAAATAAAGGCCATATTTTGTAGCTGACACCATGAGAACAATTTGTAATAATTTAAAACAAATGTACAAATTTAATCTGTGGAAGTTATGCAGTGTTTTTCTTTTAAATATTTATCCTTTTTTGTATTTCTTCACAAGTGCGTCGAGACGTCAAAGAAACCACATCGCTGCACAACGTGCGGAAAGTGCTTTTCCCAGAAGGTGGCCCTAAAGAATCACCTGTTAGTTCACGCCGGGTTGAAACCCTACGGATGTAACTGCTGCGGGAAGACATTTGCAGACAAGAGCAACCTCGCCAAACACAAACGCATTCACACCGGAGAGAAACCCTTCGAGTGCAACGTCTGTAAGAAACGTTTCAGGCTCCATCAGCACCAAACAAGCCACCAGCTGACTCACCAGAAAGAAACTCGAGATAAATAAACTATAAAACAACCTATTTTTTCAGTTTTTTAGGAATATCTCTGTTCAGGAAATAAGGTTTTATTCTAACCAGTTACTCATGAAGTGTCACCAGTGGTGGAAAGTGCATTTACTTGAGTACAATAATGAAGTATGTGAACTTTTCTTTATATTGATGCTACTTTCTTCTTGTTCTCCACTAGATTTCAGAGGGAAATACTGTACATTAACTTCACTACATTCTTTTGATAACTATAGTTACTTTACATATTTAAAAACCGGAGTATAGGAATTACAATCAACTTTTATACAAGACATTAAACTCCCCTAAAATAGCTCTATTACAGCCAGTCAAATATTAAAGATAATTTGTTTACGATAATGCTATTGCCTTAATAATAATCTTGTATTGAAAATGTTACAACTAAATAGTGTTAATTTCGTCAGCTATTTTTTTATTTAGTTTTAGTCTTAGTCCTGTGTTAAATTTCCTTTTTAGTTGTAGTCATATTTAGTCACCTTCATCCTGTTTTTATTTAGTCAAGTTATGTCGACTAAAAGTCTGAGCATTTTAGTCTTATTTTAGTCGACTAAAACAGTAACTATTTTAGTCAAGATTTAGTCGACTAAAAGTCTGAGCATTTTAGTCAAAGAAAACAAATTATTTTAGTCTACTTTTTGTCAATGAAAACTGTTGAGTCTTTTTTAGTCATCAGATTGTATAGAACATTTCAGTCAAACTAGTCTAGCCAAAACCAATAATTTGTCATTTTAGTATATATAAATAAATAAGATTATATCTTGTCCTTATTTGATGAAAAACACAGGTTGAATGATTAAGAAGCTTTGCAGAGAGTATCAGGTTTGTGGTGTTTTCACTAGCTGTGTTATGGCCGCATTGCTTCCCTTCTGATGAAACAATGCATTCACTTTTTTTCTCCGCCTCATTGTAGCGACAATGGGCCCAAATATCACATCGTTTCTTTCTCCCAAGCAGTGGTGGCTTTAGACTTTTTCGGTGTCAGTCATTTTGACAGACAGGATTGTAACATTTCCGTCATCCATTATTATCCGTCGAGTGCACAATTTATCACTCACTCGCGCTGACGGGGGGGTATTCGATTAACGCGAGTGGGACCACTGCTACCAAGCCCTGTTGTTGCCATTTTATTTTCTGTTAAATAAGGTTAGTTAGACCATGAGTTAGACCCGAGTCTTCCTGACAGTTCACAGTGTGCCGCTGCCCGGTGTAATAAAAATGTACCGCCGCGTGCAGCACAGACAAACAGCTGCTGCCCTGCCGCAGAACCGGAAATGGAACTGCTGGGAGAAAAACTGACTATCAGAAATGTAACGTTATCTTTGATAATATTTCGTCTCCTCATTTTTCGTCAACGAAAGTAAAGAGAGATTTTGGCATAGTTTTTATTTAGTAAACTACATTTTCGTCTCGTCACTTTTCATCAACGATATTGCATGATGATTTCGTTGCAGTTATTGTTTACTGCCGTCTCGTCATCGTCTCGTTTTCGTCATACATTTTACTGATTATATTAACATTTACTTTATTTCTTTTATCATGGGGTAGTACTTCTTTCCACCACTGGGTGTCACACTTGTATAACGTCACACTTTACTTGAACTTATATAGAAATGTGACAGTTTTGTTGCTTTCTATTGAGAAACATCCAATAATGCATTGTAGTCCCATATGTATAATGTGAGTCATACATATACCTCTATAGTTCTCTAAATACTTTTACATTACATTACATGTTATTTGTTAGACGCTTTTAGCCAAAGCGACTTACATACTCAATATTGTGGGAAATCCCCACAGGAGCAATTTGGGGTTAAGAGTCTCAGGGACACAACGACATGCTGACTGCAGTGTGGTTTGAACCTGTGACCCCTGATCCCAACACACAATCCACTGCGCCACACACCTCAAATACTTCAAGTATTACGCTCAAAATGTTTTGTAGAAATTCCCTTAGTTTACATTTTTTTAAATAGCCATTAGTGAGTTTTAATAATGTGACTTTATTTTTGAAATAATGACCTTTTGCTCCGACAATTATTGAAGAAATGTGTCTCTTGTTTTTTTCTTTGCTGACTAAATAAAAGAAGCTAAAAATACAGTTATATTTTGTTTGCGTTTGATGATCAAATAGTTAATTTAATGTGTTTTTATTCACTTTTTTAACACCCCAAAAGAGCCAGGAGTTCAATTTCATTTCATTATAATTTATTTATTTTCTAGATGTATTTAAATGCAGGAAAATGATATTAAATTGGGTAAAGAAACAATTAATATTATTAACAATATTCGTTGTTGGTTTCAGGATGCGTCATGTTCTAATAACCATAAAATGTTGTTTATTTTATCGATTTGTCGCTTCTTGAGTAATCATTTACGGCTTGTGATGTTCCTGTCAGTTGTTTGTCACTGCCAGTAAGTGTGTGTGTGTGTGTGTGTGTTCACGACAAATACACCCCCACGCCAGCGCCCTTTGACCCCCCGCAGAAGGGTAGAAATGTCCTGCAGCGGCTTCAGAGGAACATTCAGAAAGAAATCTACAAAGAGACACAAAGATGAAGAACCTCGTCTTCCTCACTTTATTATGCATGGCCTCGACTCTGGTGAGACATTTTCAAATATCTGACTGACACAAAGAAATCTGATTTATCTGGACGTTTAGGGAACTTTATTTACAAATTGTTAGGATTTATTTTATAATCTGCTTTGTGTTACAGATCCTTAAAAAACTCTTTAAAGGCGTTACATTCATTTAAATTATTTTACATTCCTGTCTATTTGGTTACCTGGTTTGTTAAACATGTGTTAAATATTTCGTGTGTGTGCAGACAGAGTCAATGGAACCCCGAGGGGCTCGTCCCGTGGAGCTGGGAACTCGATCTGATAAATGTGCGACGGAGAAAGAGTGGCCGTTCTGCACCGACGATCAATGGGTACAGTTCATATATAATATATATATTTATATTTTTGGGACATTTGACTTATTATGTTTTTATATAACATCATCAATCTTTCTACTTCTAGAATACTCTGTTGTGATTGGTCTATCGCTTAGAGATGTCCCGCCCATTAGCCTATCACGTACAATGTGTTAGAGCACTAGCCAATAGAAGCTAGACCATTTACATGCACTCAAACCTATTCAACTCATGATGATAGGGTCTTTGAGCATTTGGAAAAGCGATATAAAAATCCAATGTATTATTATTAATAATATTGTTATTATGATTTCAGGGCTCAAAGTGTCCGTCCAGCTGCAGGATTCAGGGTCTTCTGGATAAATACGACCACGGCACGCTGAAGAAAATCGAGAAGATCCGCAGCCTCCTGGATCAGAACCGGGCCAAACACCGATCAGCTGACCAGGTCTCCAAGCAGACCTACGACTACCTGAAGGAGAAGCTCACCCTCCATTCAGGTCAGGAGGGTTATATATAACTTAGATATTTATTAATACTTTTATATATTTGAAGTCTTCTAAATAATTGTGGTGAATGATATTTCTCAGGAAACGACAACAGCTACTTCGACCTGGCTCAGAGTCTCCGGACGAGGATCACGGACATGAAGATCCGGATCGACCGGCAGCTCGGGGTGCTGGCGGCGCTGAAGCAGCGCGTGAAGGACCAGGTGGACGACATGCAGAGCCTCGAGGTACTAATACACACATTCCTTGATTTAATACCTTTATAATACCTGCATTTATAGTATTTATACAGCATATAATATTTAAAATCCCACCAGAGGTACCTGAATATATACATATATAAATACCTTCACATAATACCTTCATATAATACCTTAATTTATGGTATTTATAGTGTGGATAGTCTAAGAAGCACACAGCTGCAGGTATATGAAAATATATATATATACCTTCATATAATACCTTAATTTATGGTATTTATAGTGTGGATAGTCTAAGAAGCACACAGCTGGAGGTATATGAAAATATATATATATATATATACCTTCATATAATACCTTAATTTATGGTATGTGTGTTGTGGAGAATATATATTATAATCCCACTGGAGCTACCGGAAATACGTTATTATAGTATTTATAAAGTTGTATCGGAGTCCTAAACCCTGACATGACTCAAAAGCTGCTTCAGTATTTATGAAAAAGTCAGATTAATGTCCGTTTTTCTTTAATTAATTATCTACAAAAACACATCTCGGCAACCGGGTGTGTTGTTGTGTTTACTCCCAGAGTTCATGCAGACTTGGTGCTTGTAGACACTTTTATTTTAACCTCTTTTCCCCTCCGTCAGATCGACATCGACATTAAACTGCGTTCCTGCAAAGGATCCTGCCAAACCTACGCCAAGTACGACGTGGACCAGGACAGCCTAATGACTCTGCAGAAACAGGTGAGGGCGTTAAAGACGGAAGCTTTTTAACGACATCTAAATGTGTCTTACAAAGATTACGGTAAAAGGTGCACGCAGTTAGAAGCTTCGAGGGGATAAATTGTGTTATTCGTACAAGATCCAACTTCTAAAAGTAGAAAAAACCCCTAGGAAAATTGTTAACTGTGTGACTAGTGCTAAAACATAAGTAGAAGTGTGGGGTGTCCTAGTCTGCCCGGCAACAGGGTGACTGCTGTGACTTTATTGAGGTTAATCTGTGACAGTTCTGCCTCTTCTTGAGACAACCGTAACTAGTAACGATGAAATAATTTGGCGTGAGCATCCGAGTGCCGTTATGAACCATATGTGTGATTTGTGTGTGTTAAATGTGGCCGTGGAGGCAGTTTTCCTAAAGTGTGAAGGCCCAGTAGAACATTTAACATGGGAGTCTATGGCCGCTGGAGTTTTTGTCACTCAAGGGCTCTTTAGGGTTAGATTTGTCCATCAGTTTTATATGATGAAGGCATCGAGACAACGCTGACTAATTTAGCGTCTGAAGTCATTTAAAATTATGTGAAAAGAGTGAAGATTATGGGATTCAGAGCAGGTTTAAGATCTGAACATTCCGCCTCATTCACACCCATTGTGACAATCTGAAACAATGCTGAAGAATTCACAACTTTCAAACTATGATTTAGGGAAAACTGTTCCATCTATCTAAAAAGTTTTTAGTCCAACAAAGACAAGAATCTGGAGAGCTGATTGAACTTTGAATGACCTCTCTCCGTTAAAATCCAATCTGTATGAGCTCTGTTAAAGTCCATTTCCCATTCATTCCTATGGAGAACATTTTATTTGTTTGCTACCATTCCCGATCATCTGCACGTTTTGTGTGCATGTTTGTAGCTTTTTTAAATAAAGACGTCTTCCTGCAGGTGGACCAGCTGGACTCGCAGGCGGCGCAGAACATCGAGGCGGTGGGAACGCTGTACGTGATGAAGAGTCGCCCGCTGAAGGGCGTCGTCGTGGACAGCATCTATAAATTGGGACAGAGCGGCCAAGACATGTTCCCCGACGTAAGATCTTCCTTTCCTCGACTGCACGTCATCTTGCAAACTTTCACACCTTCCATTTTGGCATTTTGAACAAATCCCATTTAAAAAAAAAAAAAAAAAAAAACACTGATAAAAGACATTTTGTTGTTTTATACGATTTATATATATTTTTTTTAAATGTTAAATGTTAAGTTATTTAGGATATTTTCCAAACGAACTAGAATACTTTTTAATTTATTTTAAATGCTTTCAGGCTTGTGTAGAGTTTCTCATTTATTTAGAATATGTTCTTACTTATTTTGAATATTTTCGTGCTTGTGAAGAATTTTCTTTTATTTAGGATAATTATTTTGTTATATTTCCTTTATTTATAAGATGTTCTAATGCTTACAGAATATGTTCCTTTCATCTAGAACACTTTAATATATTTAGAAAATGTACTTTTTTTTATAGTTTCTCATTCTGAACAATAAGAACAATTAATAATCATATGTGTATCATATATCATATTTAAAAATTCATCCAGAGAATTTTGTTATTTATTACCAATATTTTCTTATATAGCTTGGGGCATTATCACATTTATTTCAAACACTTAATGCCATAATCCGAACACATTAAACTGTATTTTCTGGAGCCAGACACTCATGCTTCCTCTCCGTTCTCAGGTGAAGACGGTGAATTTGATCCTGGAGTTGGAGGGCTCCAGTTCTTCCCCTGCCACCATCTCCAAGGTCCCAGGTACTTCCTTCTCTTCATCTTCATCCACTCCCTCCTCTTCCTCTATCACTAATCTCGGAGGAAACAGGGATTTCTTGGGTGGCGGCGATGGTGTCCGACAGCCGAGTACGAGCCACGGCACTCACATCACCTGCACCAAGAGCACCCGGGTAACGGTGGTTCAAACCAAAGATGGTCCGGTGGAAAGAGTGGAGGAAGTGATGGAGGGAGGCCCCGAATGCCAATCAATGACCGACTTCTCCCAGGGAGGATCCAGCTCTCTTTTCCCCAGCCTCTCACACACTTCTTCCTCCTTTTCTTCCTCCTCCTCTTCTTCCTCTTCGTCTAATATCGTCCAAGCCGGTGCCATCAAAGGAAGCCTTTTAGACACCAAACCTGGGTTTGACTTTGGCGCTGACTTTGGCGCTGACCTTGGCGCGTTCATGACGGATCGCGTCGATGACGACTTTCCCGATGTCCAATTCCGCAGTGTGAAGAGCGCGCATACGGAGCGGGAGGCCGGGTATATAGGAAAAGGTACCAAAACATCGGACGTGGAGTAAAAAAAAAAAAATCTGCGTTCAGCTAGACGTTAGCATCAGCTAGCCTTATGTACCAAAAATATGAAGTGAACACAGGAATTTTTATTGTTTAATGCTAGAGATTCACGATGTTCTGTTTGATGTATTGTTGTGTTTTTGAGGTATTTCTGGACATCAAATATGAATAAATCTGAAGAAGAATTTGCATGAGTTTGTTGGGACAAAAGTCATTTTGCAGTAAAAGCTGTTAGCATTCTTTTGACTGGGGTATGTAATTGTATTGCAAATACATGTATTAAAGTAAGCATTAGCGCCAAATTTCCCCCGACAAAACCACTCTCACTTAAGAATGCTGATGATCTTAATGCACATTGACGTTAGTCAAGGAGTATATTTCTGTGATTTTTTTTAAAAGTTCTGTTCAACTGACAATTTTAATAAAGTTACAGCAAAAAAACCTGCCTGCCTCAAAAACACATCATATAATCAATGTTGATTTGTAGATAACATTAGTTTGTCGTTTGTCATGTTGCAGTTCCAGCTACCGTTAGCACAGTAAAGCTACTCAATGGTTCGTGTTAGCAGAAAGAGTGACCGTTAGCCCATTAAGTACTTTTAAGCTTTCACAGACAAATACTCGTTTTAGAGGTTGCTATTAGGGACCGAAGACGGAAAAAAATGTATATCAGATTGACAGAAACGGGTTGCCGTCTTGCAGGAAAGCGACCATTAACTGCAGTAAATTTAAGCTAGCCGAATCGCTCCAAGCTAACTGGCGGTCTGCGGTTTCCCCCTCTGTCCGCAGATTGTGTCGACGCCCACAGGAAGCATCTGAACGGAGAAACGAACGGCCTTTTTACGATCAGACCTGGAGGCCAAGACTCCCCCCAGCTGGTGGAGGTTTACTGCCACCAGGAGGGGATAATGGGAGGGTGGGTGTTAGTCCAGCTGAGAGAAAACGGCGCGCTAAACTTCAACCGATCCTGGGCCGAATATGGCGAATTTTTCGGGTCCGTTGACGCGACGGGAGGCGGAGAGTTCTGGATCGGAAACCAGAACCTCCACCTGCTGACGAATCAGGGCGAGAACATGCTGAAAGTGGAGCTGGAGGATTGGGAAGGAGGCGTAGCTAACGCAGAGTTCACGATCAGAGTCGGTTCTGAAGACGAAGGGTATCCAATTCACGTTTCCGGGTACACGGGAGACGCCGGGGATTCGCTAACGATGTCGCACAACGGGATGAAGTTCAGCACCTTTGATAAAGATAACGATAAGTCAGAGGGGAGTTGCGCGGAGATGTATGGCGGAGGATGGTGGTACAACGACTGTCAGGCGGCTAACCTAAACGGGGTTTATTATAAAGGCGCGTACGAACCGGAGAAAACCGCACCGTACGGAGTTGCTAAAGGAGTTGTGTGGGAGACGTTTAAACCGACAAATTACAGTCTGAAAAAGGTTAAAATGTTCATCAGATCGGCAGCTTTTTAGACACACTGAGAAAAGATAAAACACAAATAACGGCTAACTTAAAAAAGATTGCAGTGTTCTTTGACATCAAACCCGCAAATAACGGCATAAAAACTTTTCAAATTAGATGCTGAGATAAAATACAACAACTTTCAGGCTGCTAACTTGAGGGATTTATCATATCGAGGATTGTACGACCCGTGCAGTACTTAGTTGCAAACGAAGGCGCGTGGAAGACATTCCAATAGGAAAATTACAGCTTAAAAATGTTAATTGTAAGCAGAGAAAACATGGCAAAGCTTTTAAAGATATTTATCAAAAATACACATAAATCCCCATACTTTGATCGGCGGCTATATGTTGCCAGTAAATGTCACATGTTACCATATTAATATGCATATTTGACGTTGGAAAAAAAGCTTTGATTTCATTGCAGTATGTATTTCTGTCTGGTTGAAAGAAATCTGACATCGAAAGGGATCTAAAAAACCTCTAAAATGCTCATCTGATCGGCGGCTTTTGTTTTAATGTACAATCTTTTATTTAAACTCTAGAGCAACAAGGCAGGCCTAAAGAAAAGCTTAAAGTAGGACGTGCATTTCAGACTTCAGACTGTTGATCTGTCCGTGTTTATTCTTCCTGATTGTGTATATTTCATCGACCTGTTTATCCCAGAAGAGTTTGTGGAAAATCACAAAGTGTTCCCAATATGTTTCTCAACTTTGTACGGAGCGATGAACTCTTGCAAATCAATAAAGATCAAATGTTCACTTCAGCTGCTGTGGTGTGTGCCGTCATTTAACACAAACTAACACAGGTTTAAATATTTTCAAACATACCAAAAACATTTAATTTATAATAAAGTAGACATTATTATTCCAAAGAAATATTATTTAGAGAATCAATAAAACATTTATGATAAATATATATTTATTTTAATACATCATTTTTTATTTAAAGGTTTTTATTGTCTTCCAAATTAAAACTTTTTCGTCATTTTAAAAGGCACTTTAATAATAATCTAATTTAAGGTTGATGTTTACATATCACATTTTTTATATTTTATTAGAAGCGGGAAGTAATACATAAATACATATTTTAAATAAACGCACTTGTATCTGGACGGTCTGCATTATTCTTAATTAATAACAAATATATATACATTATTAAAAACGTATGCCATATAAATATACTTCAATTATATATTTACATATTATTCTATCAACTACAATAAATGTACTCTTTAAATACTTTGCTGGAAGACTAAATTAGATCAATAATATTTGAAGTTTTCTTACATAATTAATACTTACAAGGGGATCAAAATGTATTTTAACGACAGAATTGTAATTGTTAAAAATCAACATTTATGTTAGTAGTGAATTGCAAATCTGTTTCCACATTTTAAAATGACTCATATTTAACATAAAACATTATTTCTCGGAATTAAATCCAGAAATGTTCTAAAATAATTTGATATACACAAAAATTTGGTGAAGAATAACATTTTGTAGCTATTAAACTACAATGTGCACTTCTTTATGTAATGTTTATATATTAGTGTATACTGCCTGGTTCTTAAGCAGATTGAGAATTACTCAAAAAGTAATTTTATCCCATTTTGAGGAGAAAAAGTTAGATTTAAAAATGATTTGTTATCTAACAAAGTAAAACCTGAGTTCATGTTGGTTCAACTTGTTTGTTAATTTCAAATAAAGTGTTTTCCACGTGTCCTCTCTTCCTTCTTATCTCATGTGTGATTTGGAGGCCGGTCCAAGGTGCGCTGACCTCAATTATTTATTTTATTTATTTATTTTCTCTGCAGTTTGTACAAGGCTGCAGAGACAAGATGGCCGCCAGCCCTCAGGTCACACACACATGAAGAAACACTGCCGGACACACACACATTTCCCTCTGTGTGCAGACGACGACTGGGTGAGAAACACACACACATACAGTTATCAAACTATAGTTCATGAGGTGGAAGTTCACCAAATTTAGTTGAGGAATTCAAATGTGAAGTTTAGTTGAGGAATTCATCTACATGAAAACCTGAAATTTGAGTTAGTTTGACAGCAAATCATCAGCCTTTACAAACACCTGTAATACTGGATATATTTGTATATCATAAGTATAATATATCATACCAACATAGTATTTTTGTTAATCCACGTATATATGTGCCCTTATTTATTCTTGAACATATCCTAGAAGGCATATGGTAATAAAGTCCAAAAACAACCAACAAAAGGTTACATTTATTCATAAAATATAGATATATATATATAAAGATTTTAAAATGTTTTTATGAACCCTAAATGTTTCTTATGTTGCTTTTCTAAAACGTGGTCTCTCTGATTGCACTGAACAATCTCTTGTAGATCTTGCCAATATGATGTGTGTGTTAAGATCAGGCTATATTTATTTGTTTGTACAATTTTAATATAAAATGATATAATGTATATTAAACTATATATCAGAGTAGCATAATACTTCTTATTAAGTAAGCATATTTATTATTTTCGTGATTCAGAGTTTCATACCCATGCTAACACTTAATTGTATTTCCTTGTGGATTTACAAAAACCTTAAATCCCTTTTACTCGAGTAAACATCGAGTATGTATCAGTCTTTCTGTAATCTGGCTGGTTCAGGAGAAAAAAGTCTCAAAAGGAAAATGTTTTTCTATATTTACCTTCTATAGTACTTTTCTTTGGATGGGACCAACTTCATACACATGGCAGATATTGAAAACACAGTTATGAAAGTATATAATTCACTCTGTGGGACTAATAAAGGGATTCGGATGTTGACCCTCGTGTTTCTCTTTTACAGGTTTCTAAATGCCCCTCCGGCTGCAGGCTGCAGGGTTTGATCTCACAGATGGAGAGCAAGGTGGAGAGGAAACTAACAAAACTGTGTAAAATAGCAAAGATTCACGAAGACGCGACGGAGAAGTCCATGGCGGCCATGACACGCGCCTACAACCACAACCGGAGATTCCTCGTCAGCAGATACGGTGAGACTAACACATTAACTAACACACATTAATCAACATCTCTTTACAGAGTTATTCAAGAGGCTACTTTTCATCTGTAGTCCCTGGTAATGTTTGGTAGACTGGTGCAGGGATGTCGTATTTCTGTGTTGGACCCTGAAGGCAGCATCTCCCTGGTCCAATGGGATTCCTCCGTGTGATTTTGGGTTATTGAAGAACATAATCTCTGTGTCAAACAAGCTTTGATGAAATGTACACGTATAGTTCAGCAGGATAATCTCCACATATTAACACACAGGTCATTTTTCATGCTGACGATGACATTTAATACCTTAGTTAGCTTTAGTTAGCTTTAGTTGGCTTTAATTAGCTTTAATTAGCTTTAATTAGCTTTAGTTAGCTTTCATTTAAAGAATGTGTAATTAAGAAAGGTATGTTTTGTTCTCTTTGACACTAACAAACAACAAATTACTCGTTCTTGCACCACTATAATCTGGATGTAATAAAGATAGGATGATTTAAACTAACCCTGTTTGTATTGGTCTCCAGTTTCAGAGCTGAAGTTCGTGGAACAAAGCGAAGTGTTGGCGTTGAACCTAACGTCGCTCCGAAAACGTTCGTCCAAGTTGTCGCTGAAACTCAAGGAGGTGAACCGAGACGTCCAGAAACAATTAGTGGACTTATATCGAACAGAGGTAAGAGAAATGAACAGGAACGCTTCTTTCAGAATGCCGTTAGCACCTTAAAGGTGCTCTGATCCAAAATTAAAAAGTATGAGCATCGTTCAGCTCATTATTTTAGTAGATAAGCGTTAGCTCTTTGAGCTACAAGATCTTTGGAAGTGTTAGCGAGCGTTTTGGGCTCTTTCCGCTTTATGTTTTGTTCGCCGCGTTCTTTGTTAAATCTTGATTTTGGTTTCATAATATAACGCTTATATTACTTGGGGTCCTGTGCAGTGTTGTCAACTGTTTCCAAAGACTTCACTCGGTCCAAGAGTTGCCAATCAGACACTTTTTCCATTGGTTATAATTGAACTCTTACATAGCCTGCATTCAACCCTATTTCTATTTTTCTAGCAAAACAAAATACTGTAAACAAAGCTAACGTTTGCTTATTTCATATATGGCACATTTGACTAGGAAGACATGAATCAATACAGTTGAAATGTCAGAATCAGAAAACCTGTATTCGTCCCACAGAGGGGTCATTTACATGTGTTACAGCCAGAGACAGCTTAATGTTAACTAAGAATTGACGTTATAGAGGAATAACATGTGTTTCCCGTCTCCAGGTGGAGGTCGACGTGCAGCTGCGAGCCTGCTCTGGTTCCTGTAAGCTGGTGTTTCCGTTCAGCGTGGATCATCACAGCTTCCAAACACTTCAAACCGACTTGAGGCCCCGGGACAAGACTCCTCACCAGAGGAGGAAAGTCGTTTCGCCTCCAGAAGACGTCCCTCACATGAAGCTGCAGACGGTCGATGAACACCCAACATCGTCCGAGTATAAATCCATCCCAACGGTCCGGAGAGAACTTTTGACCCAGTTCGAGGACATTCCCCAGAACCGGGTCTTCATGGAGGATTTCGAGACTGAAGAGCTGCACTGAGGCAGGTTCATGGTGGAAGTTTATTTTACTTTTCAACAGCACTTGAGGGTTTAAAGGGTCTCTTCAAATAAACACAGAATAGTTTCTCAGGTACATATAACACCTGTTTCAATGTATATTTCTGTTTACTGTTTAATACATTTTATATATTTTTATGACATTCCTTACTACTTTTTACTGTCGGCAATTGTTTACAAATATTTGCGACATAGTAAACTGTGACTTTTTGGGGATTTATCGTTGCACACTATTGCTGTTCTCAACATTGTTTGACATACTATATCGAGATACTGAACTGTGACATTTTGTCATGTTTTTTGACTGGTAAAAAAAAGACTTTACTTCCAATTTCAAAAGGTATTAGTTATGTTTTGCCAGTATTCCTTAACACTATTGCTTCTTGCTGTAATAAGTCTTGTATATTCTTTGTCCCTAGCATTTGGAGGAGTTCGAGACCGAAGAGCTCCACTGAGAAAGGTTCATGGAGGAAGTTAACAGCACTTAGGGGTTCAAAGGGTCTCTTCTAATAAACACCTCACTGTATTGTTCCTGTTTATTAACAACAACAACACGCTCTTTGTTAACGTGCACACAGGACTGGGCAATACATCGATATATATTTCAGAGTAGATATCGTTGGATTTTGGATATCGAATATTGCATAAGTGTCTTTTCCTGTTTTTAAGTAAGTAACCAGGCTGTTTTTTCCGTCATCATTATAATCTCTATATCCACATAACTAATGATTATTTATTAAAAATGTAATATAAGTGTTAATATTTATTGATATCTCCGATAATCAACGCCTCAATATCTTCTTAATGTCATTATCAAGGTATTTGATTTTCTCCATATCGCCAACCCCTTCGTCCACCTTACTAAAAAGTCTGTTCGTTCACTTTGAATATTCAGTATCATGTATTGTAAAGCAGAATCACTGCAGGGAGGTTACAAATAGTTAGGTGGCGACCTCTAGTGGCCGTAGTTATTCTAAGTCTTATTTTAAGTTATACATCTCATACTTACGTAACATACTTAACAGAAACAATGCACTTAGCTTAATCAGCCTTATATGTGTTTGATGTGTGCATAACCAACTATTTAATTCTACCCTTAAACCAGGTCCTAAACCAAACCAAGGAGTGTTGTTGCATAAACATAAAACAATGACTTTTGCTTCAATTCACAATTTAATAAATATATTTTGTTTTGTTTTGAATGTCTGGGTATGTGCAGTTTGCCCATGTTGCCTCATCTAAAGCATTATGATGGTAGTACTAACGGACATTCAATGGGTTGATAACATTTAAAATATGTGGTTTGTACAGTTTTCCTTATTGAATGCATTTTCTGCTTGATACAAAACCTGAAATTGCCATTTAAAAAAAGTCACTTTATTGGAAAACAAAGTAAAATAGTGTATGAGTTTAAACAATCTTGGGGGCAAAGTGAATCTCTAACTTTCAATGACAGCCAACATGTTAAACATTCAAAACCCTTCTGTACTATATGTACTGTACAATCTTCTGTCTTAATTGTCGACAAATAATGTATTTCTAAAACACCTCAAACTGTTTTTCTGTCCATTTTAAAATGCTTGTAAATACAATAATCTTCACAAATTAGCCGTGTCTTTCTCTGGTTCTGGATGTGGGTGACAGCTTCAATCTTCTCTGATCTATCACTAGACACATTTAAATATCAATGCATAAAGATACTCCTCTGTTTCCTGTTATATTATGTATGTCACTGTTTCAACAATGACTTCCCTCGCTGTCCAGCCATAAACTCACTGCATGTTGAAATGTGATTTGTATATGCACGGATCAGTTAATAAACACACTTTTGCACATTGCTGTCACCTCTGTCTCTTATTGAATAGTTTCTCAGGTAGCATAGAATACTGTTTCAATGTACCATTAATCAGTATGCTGTTTACTGTGGTGTAACTTTACATTTTTATATTTATTTTTGACAGTTTTATACACATTATATTTGTATTATGACATTCCTTACTACTTTTTACTGTTGGCAATTGTTTCAAAATATTTATAATTACATTTCTCTATAATATTTGACATACTTTATGACTTTTTGTACAACATTTTTGGACAAACGTGACATTTTGTCATGTTTTTTGCCTTGTAAAAGAAAGACCTTACTTACAATTTAAAACATGTATTAGTAATGTTCTGCCAGTATTCCTTAACACTGTTGCTTCTTGCTGTAATAAGCCTTATCTTTAGCATTTATAAACACCCACTTTTGACTGACTAGATAAGCTAGTTACTAAAACTATCCCGGCAAGAATGGGAATTTCCGATTGTTCTGATGGCCCATTTTTGTGATGGCCCATTTTTGTGATGGCCCATTTTTGCGATGGCCCATTTTTACAAAAGCCCATTTGTGCTTCAGCCTGTTATCCCAAAAGTTGACAGTGTTTATTGAGCAGTTTAAACTTACTCCTCTTGATTGACATAGAAGATGAGCAACAATATTATTTAGCATTACTTTTCTCACTTTTCTTTAAACCTTCTTTGCATATTTCACCACGATACGTTTTTGTGTTTTATTTTGACAGGCTGTAGCAGGAAGTATTAATTGAGTTCATTTCGTTTTCTACAGTCCCTTTAGTGAAATAACAATCAGACCAGACAGGAAGTATGTTCCTCAACGTGTTTATTGAGTAGCGGAGGACAGTCTGTTGACTCGTCCTTGTTCTGCACACCGAAGACGTCACACATCACGAGAAAGGACAGAGCACAAACACTCACAACCAGTACCATGCTTCTCTTTTCCTGTAGACATGACACAATAATCTTACTTTTTATCAATTCTTATTTCACTTTGTTCTTAAGCTTATGTTTGTATACATCAGTACATGCCGAGACTCTCAGTAAAAGTTGTGTTTGAGTGTGTGTGTCCACCAACTTTAAGGTTACAGCTAAAATAAAGGACACACTTGAAAATGAGCTACAAAGAGTTTTGAAGCTGTTTGACCCCAAACCCTAAAGCCACACATTCTTTTCCAGTCTTTTATTTTGGCGGTTTCCCGTATGTGTGCGTTGACGATGCTCTCTGATTATCTGGAGGCGAAGAACGGCCTGATCTTCATGCTGATGGTTTTCAGAGAATACCAGCTGCCCTTCCAGTTCATCCACACCACGCCGTCGTCCGTGCCGTGTTTGGCCATTCGGCGAGTGTACGCTCCTCCGATGTAGTATCGTCCGTTGGGATTGGCCGAGTGGCAGCGGTTGTACCACCAGCCGCCTCCATCCTCTCTGGCGCATTGTTTAGACGGATCACCTGGGACCCTGGGAGAGGAAACAAGGAGACAAGATTAGATTCCTTTATTGTCACTTCACAGAGTACAGCGACATTCCAAGTATTCCTGAAGGTGCAATCACACATAACAGACCGTATAAGTGTCATTTGACAATACAAGCTACAAACATTAAATATATACTATATAAAGAGACACGAAATTGGAACTATGATACATGGAACAGTTCGCTTATAAAACAATACAACATTGCTATACAAATACAAAAACTATACGGTCAAGGCAGTAAAACAAATCTAAACAAGTCAATAAGTAAGTTATTGTACATTTGTTTGTCAGTACGGTTGATAATTACAAAACTCAAAATAAATATGTGTTCTATACAAATGGTATGAGGTAGGATATAAAGTGCAGTTGAATGTAAACATGGGATCGAAGGAAGTTTAGATAACAAAAAAACACAAAATCATGACAAATCTGAATCCGAATCTGTGTCCTAGAAGCATCCTTGGAACTGTTACTATGACGTTCTTTTCTTACTTTTTTCAACACATTATATCATGTATTTTCGTCTTATATCTTGACATACTACACAATTAAGTTTTTTCGACTTTTGCAACAGACTATATTACGTTTTTTTGACTTTTTATTGCCAAGAATCGGTGTTGTTGCTAAGTAGGTTTACACACACGATGAATGTGCTTTGGTGTACAAAGACACCGAAAGAAACATATGTTTCTTTTTAAAGGAGTGAAAAATATGGCTTTTATAAAAGCTATTTTAAGAAAACGTCAGCATTACCAGGACACTCACCAGTTGTCGTTGTCTCGGTCGTAGGTGCTGAACATCATGCTGTTGTGAATGGTCATCGTGCGGTTTTCACCAAACAGTTCCGTGGATCCGTCCAGGAAACAGTTCCCGGCATTCCCGGAGTATCCGTCCACCGCCATCACGTAGTTGGACGTCTCTGATTGGATTGTGAACTGGCGGTACTGAGCATGGACCTAAAGGCAGGGAAAAGCAACAAGATGAGTTTATACTTTGAGAGAAGACCATCATCCTTCTTTTTTTCGACATTCTATGACCTTTCTTTTGACTTTTTCGACATTCTATACTATATACCGTTTTTTTTACTTTGGCAATATTTCAATATACTATACAATGTTTTTTCCCTATTTTTTCAATATGACTTATTTTTATTTTCTACACTACCTAATATGACTTTTATAAAGATCTAAATCGGCTGTAAATAGAAGTATTGCTGCCCACCTTGGCTCCGGTCCAGTCCTCCATCTCGATGAGGACCTCGGTGGGGCCCATCTTGGTCACATAACTGATGTGGTCGTTACCCAGCCAGTACTCACCTGGCAGGTGAGAAAGGAAAAAATTAATTCTGGATGTGAACAACTACCCGAAATCATGAATAAACACATTTATTAAGGTACTCAAATGTGTTCGAAATGTACTGAGATCTTTAACTCTAGGCGTGATATTTTTTATATGCTATCCTATTAGTTTTTTCTAATATTTTAACACCATACCATGTTTTTATTTTAATCATTTTTTATTTACTTATTAAATTGATTATACGTCTTTAAAAATATATATTTTTCAACATTTGATACCATTTATTTCTAATTTAACATGCTATGCTTTTACTTTTTTTTCTATACTTACTACATGATTTTTCTTAATTTTTGTACATACTATACTATGACTTTTGCATTATCATCATTTAATACACGATACAATTACTTTTTTAAATACTTAAATATATATGTTAAAAAACAATAATATATTATATACAATGCCTTTACCCCTATTTATTTTTTAAATGTTTAAAATAATGTCAGTTTTCCACCCATGAGCTTACATCTCCCTTCACAAATCCTCTTGACTCTTATTTTGAAAAACCTTACCAGGAGTCTGACAGTGACCCTTTCCAGAGTCGGAGGCGATGTTCCCAAATCCGCGTCGATATTCGTCCCAACGTCGCCCAAATTCCACACTGCCGTCCTGCCTGTTCTGGATGAGAAGCCAGCCTGCGGAAATAAAAACAAAAGAAGAAGAAATGTTAATTAAAAACGTCGTTAAGACATGGGAGATATTAAAAGGAAGTGATTCTGACCTCCGTTCTGCGTGCTCTGATCACAGAAGACTCGGTACGGAGCGGTGAAGCTGTCGGGCTGGATCATGTACATCTGGGAGTCTTTTCCTCCACGGCGGAAAATATCCTCACACTCCTTACCTGAAACACACGCAGGTTACATTTTTCATGTAGTTTAATATTCCTTTTGCATATTGTTTTACATATAATAAGATGCTTCTTTTGTTATTGACTATATGCTACAATATGCGTGTTTTTCATGTATTTATTTCATATTTTTACATCGAATAATTAAGGATATTTAATGATGTTATTAGGGACGCCTTACCGGACACCACGGGGATGGGGCACTTGGTGGTGCAGGGCTCCTTGCACTCCTCCCTCTGAGTCTGGATCGCCTTCTCCAGCTTCAGGATCTTCTGACGGATCTTCTCCAGGACGCCCTGCACACAGGAAGCAGTTTACATCAGTGTTTGTAGTCTTTACTACACACAGGAAGCAGTTTACATCAGTGTTTGTAGTCTTTACTGCACACAGGAAGCGGTTTACATCAGTGTTTGTAGTCTTTGCTGCACACAGGAAGCGGTTTACATCAGTGTTTGCAGTAGTGTGTGTGTTCCCTGTAGTCTTTACGTCAGACAGGAAGTAGTGTGTGTGTTCCCTGTAGTCTTTATGTCAGACAGGAAGCAGTGTGTGTGTTCCCTGTAGTCTTTACGTCAGACAGGAAGCTGTGTGTGTGTTTCCTGTAGTCTTTATGTCAGACAGGAAGTAGTGTGTGTGTTCCCTGTAGTCTTTCCGTCAGACAGGAAGTAGTGTGTGTTCCCTGTAGTCTTTCCGTCAGACAGGAAGTAGTGTGTGTGTTCCCTGTAGTCTTTACGTCAGACAGGAAGTAGTGTGAGTGTTCCCTGTAGTCTTTACGTCAGACAGGAAGCTGTGTGTGTGTTTCCTGTAGTCTTTATGTCAGACAGGAAGTAGTGTGAGTGTTCCCTGTAGTCTTTATGTCAGACAGGAAGTAGTGTGTGTGTTCCCTGTAGTCTTTACATCAGACAGGAAGTAGTGTGTGTGTTTCCTGTAGTCTTTATGTCAGACAGGAAGTAGTGTGTGTTTCCTGTGGTCTTTACGTCAGACAGGAAGTAGTGTGAGTGTTTCCTGTAGTCTTTATGTCAGACAGGAAGTAGTGTGTGTGTTCCCTGTAGTCTTTACGTCAGACAGGAAGTAGTGTGTGTGTTTCCTGTAGTCTTTACGTCAGACAGGAAGTAGTGTGTGTTTCCTGTAGTCTTTCCGTCAGACAGGAAGTAGTGTGTGTGTTTCCTGTAGTCTTTCCGTCAGACAGGAAGTAGTGTGTGTTTCCTGTGGTCTTTACGTCAGACAGGAAGTAGTGTGTGTTTCCTGTAGTCTTTACGTCAGACAGGAAGTAGTGTGTGTTTCCTGTAGTCTTTACGTCAGACAGGAAGCTGTGTGTGTGTTTCCT